ACCTGGATCGGTGCGATTTCAGGAGTTCTCCAAATCGCTCAAGTCATTTCCCAGACAACCGCAGGTTTGGTCAAATTAAAGGGGAGGTTCAGCAATGCCGATCTCACCATCCAGTCACTCATCGGAGAGCTATCGATTATCGAATCAGCTTTGACTCACCTAGAGGGTTGGGCCAAATTCAATGCCCGTGGTACGACCAAATCTGAGGAGTACGTTGAAGGATTGAATGTCGCATTGGATGGCTGCCGAGCGGTTATGGAGGTCCTTTCGGAAGAGGTAGCGTCCCTCGTCCAGAACATAGCCGGACAGGACCTCGTTGTTGGATTCAGAGCTCGTGTTAAAGTGGTTTGGAACGAGGATGTCATGCGAGCTCACCAGGAACGACTCCATGCGCAGGTGGTGGCCTTGCAATTGTTGCTACAGGCGTGTCAATGGTCGGAGCCTTGAGTACCTGACATGCTCATTATATGCTGACATCGCGATAGTCGCTCATCGTCCGAGCAAGTCGAGCTGCTTCGGAGAGCGGAAAACCGCCAGATCATTAAAAAAGTTGCAGATGATACGGCCACTCTTCGGAGCTCCAGCTACGCAGGCTCCCAGGCACACGGGTCAAGTTGGAGCTTTTACCAGCAATCCGTCAGCAACGTCGCTTCTGATCTGGACAGAGTGCTTGCCTCTTCTCCCTCAATCGGTTACGCAGGCCACCACTTCCGATCAAAATCGGACATTGATGAAGGCTATGCAAGTGCAGCCACTACCAGTCGCAGCTTCTCGCAGACAGATGGCTTCTCGTTGCCCCTTCGTCCCAACGATTCGATCATTATGAGAAATGGTCACAGCACAAGCGCAACGTTACAACACGCTCCGCGCCAGTACAGCCAGAGTCAAGTTCGACGATCGCAGTCAGATTCAAAGCCACCATCGAGTGTTCGTCCTCCGTTGGGGTCCAAGCGCGAGAAGATACGTTCGGTCTTTCGACAATTCAGTCGAAGCAGCCTAACGTCAAGCTCTTCGAGGTCGTCCGGACTAAGCCATACAGCATCCAGGGTAGCACGAGCTGTTGACGAAAAAGATCTGAAAACGAGCATTGACCTTACAACTCCCGAAGGAGCTACGGCTCCTTTGATCGTCAAACTGGCTCAGTCAGGAGGTCTGGCTGACATTGAGATGCTTATAGAGAGTGGACATGGAGTCGATACACGGCATCTGAGTACTCGCAGGACTGCCCTATTGGTGGCAGCGCACTGCGGTAACGAGGCGGTGGTCAATCTGCTTATTCAGAAGAACGCGAGACTTGATGCCGTCGATGCCTGGGGTTCTACAGCTCTTCATCTAGCGGCTTCACGCGGCCATTGTGATGTACTTCAGCTGCTTCTTCTGGAGCAATTGGACACCGAGGCACGAGATGCCCAGGGCAGGACGGCGCTTTGGCTAGCGGCTGGTCGAGGCCAGCTTGAAGCCACCCACTTGTTGATTGCCCACCACGCCAAGGTGAATGTGCGAGCGGAAAATCATACGACGCCACTTCATGCTGCAGCAAAGCGAGGCGACGAAGCAATTGTAGAGCTTTTAATATCATGTGGTGCAGACTTAGAAGCGAGAGACGGTGCAATGATGACAGCGTTGCACTATGCATGCGAAGAAGGCCACCTAGGCGTGATGAAACTGCTCCTGGATAGCAGAGCAAATATCAATGTGCCCGGAAGTGACCGAAGGACGCCGCTCATCTGCGCCGCAGCAATGGGGAGATTTCTGGTGACGCAGGAGCTGCTCAGGCGTAAAGCCTCGACCCATTGTGTGGATGATGCTTCCATGACTGCGGTACACTGGGCCGCGTTCAATGGACACATCGAGATTGTGGATCTCTTAAGCCAGAAGAAGGGCGTGCTGACAGCAACCAACAAATTGGGGCGAACAGCCCTACATCTTGCGGCCATGAACTCGCGTTTTGCGGTGATAGAGCTACTTGTGCGCAAGGGTGTACCAGTCGACACACGATGCCAGGACGGTCTTACCCCTCTCCATTACGCCTGCTTGGCGAACAGCCTTGAGATTGCCAGACTACTGCTCATCAGTAACGCGAACATCGAGGCGCAGACAAAGATCAATCAGCAGAGACCCATCCACATCGCTGCCGCTCGTGGATCGATGAATATGCTCAGTCTGCTTTGTGACAAGGGAGCATCCCTGGAGGCTAGAGACGCCAAGGGTGACCGGGCTCTGGGGGTCGCTTGTCGCCACGGCCATGCAGCAGCAGTTCAGAACCTCCTTGGTCGAGGTTGCCCTTTGTACTTGGCATACGAAACCAGGCCACAGGAAGATTCCCCCCTGTGTCTGGCAGCAATGGGGGGACATCTCCCAGTAGTGTCCCTTCTCCTCCAGCACGGCGCATCCGTCGTGCGGAGAGACGAGTCCGGATGGCAGCCACACCAATACGCCGCGTATTATGGACATCCTGACGTTCTGGCACTGTTGCTTCAACGTGGACCTGCATCGGCAAACGATGGGAAAAGATTCGGCCTTGACGCCGCCGGAATCGGCTTCGCCCCTCATGCGATCATCTCTGAGGAGCGGAAGGAGCAAGTCCGGCGGTTGTTGAACCAAGATAGCAGGATATCCGCCGCCCAGACCCAGATCCTTGCTTCCCAGCCCCTGCAATCTGTAGGAGAAACACCCCATGACACGGCAATAGCCCCTCAGCTATCCTTGACGACTCGATCTCCAGAGCCCTACGCTGAGCCCTCGGCCATGGCGCCTCAGGAGCTGCCTGTTACCCTCGAGCAAGGACTGCCCCCGAGCCGGTCCGCTACACCAGAGCATATGCGCGGGGGAAGACGCACCAGCATTGGTTTGAGAAGCAGACCATCACAATCCAGGGAGATTGAGACCGCTATACAGTCTTCTTCATCAGGCAGAGCTCCCCTTCAACCTGGGCCAAGTGTTTCTCACACTGGCTCTACTTCTGAGCCTTGGTTCGATTACTCTCTGCCGTACTGGAGGGGCTCTCCAGTTTCCGCAGTTCATGAAACCGAGACTGAGGTCGAAGTACTCGCACCACAGCCGGGTCGCGGGACGGTAATAGAGTTACCATTGCTATCAACGCTCAACTCGGTTGACCCTGTATGTGAGTCAATTGGTATGGTGAGCTCGGATTCGGAGTCTTCATCTTCTGTATATACTGCGCGCGAGGACTAAGTCCGTGATGAAGAGGGCTTGCATGCAATAAATGCTTTGTATTTACGACTATAATGCCATAATGATGATTGATGTTGGTGTTTTAGTAGAAAATTATATAGTTTCTATTCTTCGAGAGATCAACGCGGGGAATTTCCGAGTGAGCTCCGCCCCTTGCGGCCTATTCATTTGCCTATTTAAGGATTGTGTATACCTTCCTTGTCCATTATCTCAGGGCTAATTTCCATTCTAATCTCCTCCTCTAATCCACTCAAACTGGGCCAAATAGGTCGCTATGTGGTTGAGGACATAGACTCCCGGTATGGACCTGAATACACCTGCACCATCTGCCAGAACCAGTTTGACGACTTGTCCGATGTGGAAGAGCACTGTCGACGGACCACTTCTGGTGTGCGCGATGTGAACGCGTCTTCGTGTCAGAGGATTCCAGGCGTGATAATTTGCGGAACTCGCATCGGCATCATATCTGCAATCTTTGCGAATTCTCCGTCTCAGCGCGACCTGGAAGACCACCTGGACGAACAGCACTGCTTGTGCGAACCATGCAAAAGATACTTCCCCTCGGCATACGAACTGGGCCAGCATGATATACAGTGCCACAACTGGTGCAATATCTGTGATCGGTACTTCCGCAACGAGAACAACTACCGCATGGTACGTCCCCATGCCCTCGTTAAAATGCCACCGTACGTATCCTAACGCCAAACAGCACCAACGCACGCACGACGCGCGCGACGTGGAATGCTTCGGCTGCTACCGAGCATTCGGGTCGTTCTCTGCCATGTTGATCCATCTCGAAGCGGGGACTTGCTCAAAGGGCGTGTCGCTCAGCGATATCTACGAGATGGCGTTCGAGTGCTACCAAGCCCGCAAGTACACCTGGGACGAAAATGATTACTTTCCATATTTTTGCCCTGATCCTGGGTGTGGGCGCGAGTTCCGATTCCCCTCAGCTCTCTATCAGCACGGGGAGACTAGTCCGAACTGCGATCATCTGTTGCGACTGCCGAAGTGTTTGGCCAAATTGAGACACTTCATCTCGCAGCGGGGATAGTCCGCCAACTGGTTATGCGGCCAACTGGTGAGGACGACTGCAATCGGCGACATACATTATCGCAACCCTCATCGATAGACACAGGCGCGCAGAACTTTGAATCCCCTGAAAATCTATACTTGCGACGAGACATTCGAATGCATAGATTCAGGCCCATTTTAGGCAATCCGACGCTTATTCAAGCACCTTTTCTGTGCATATTGATATTCAGGCTGTTCTCATTGATGCAGAAGCTGTATGGATTCAATCCATTCAAAGAGACTAACTAACATGATATGATGAATCGAGAAACACGTTTTATCTCATATCTACCTGCTGATATTAATCTGTCGTTGAAAAGAAACGCTTCCGTGGTCGGACGGCGTCCAACTCGCCTGGGGTCAAGAGAATAGACAACTCGTATTCTAGTGCCCAGCATCGCCATTTCACCCTCCTTGGCCCATTTTCATACACTTGTCATGATTGACGTTTGAGTCCAGTGCTCAATCTGAAGAGAGACTATGGTTGAGATCTTTTCCCCGACCAAATGTTGTTCCTGGCTAAGCCTCCCTCCGTCAATCTCAATGAAACTGCTAGGGGGGGAAATCTATATAAGAGATGGCGACAATTTAGAATCTGCGCAGACGCTACGATCTCAAAATGCAAACGATAGTGAAATTTGCCCTCAGTATCGTCCTCTCCAGAAGCTCCCCGGCTGAGCAGCATATCTACCTACTATCTCTACCCAGAAAATGGGCACAGCACCCTGATCTCACCACACCAACTTCCCATCAAACCGAGGAAACGACGCAAGTTGCTGAAGGAAAATCCCGAAATCGCGACAGATCCAAATGACTTCTTCGTCCACAAACCCTACATCTCGTTCAACCGCACTCCGCGAACCCTGCGGCGAGGCAGTAGCAAGCAGGGGACCCCAGTCTGTCTCAACCACAACTCCGCCTTTTGGAAACGCTAGAACCTCAAATTCGGGGAGGGTATGATCGCAGCGATTGACCCAAGAGGCGCAGTGAGGTGGAACCGACGAAGCAACACCGATAACCGCGTTGACGACGGCAAAAATCTCGCATTGAAGGTCTACAAGCTGCGCAAGTGGCGACTCTAGCGCCAAACGAGCAAGCAGATCATTGAGGCGTGAACGCGAAGCGGAGGCAGAGTTAACAAGACCAACAAAGAAGATGCGCAGCAGGCAGTCGGTCATTCCGATGACGATCCCGATCCCGATCCAGATGCGGGTCATCGACCTGTGCGTGCCGATGAAGTGCTAGCGCAATGTTAGACCGCACCACTATCCACGCGCACCCAGTGTAATCAGTGGAAGTACGCTAATATTGAGCTCGTCTGGGAGGGCACGAGAGGAATCTGCCCGCGGGGAGCTCAAGTAGTCGAAGCGCTGCTTGCCGTAGCATCACCTTAAACTGACTGCTCGAGTACCACCTTCTTCTGGCCATAGCCAAGGAGACGCGGTGCTTGCTCAGTATTTCAGCAGCATCGAGAAAGAAAAGTATGGCGGCCTGGTCATCTACAAGGCAGAGGTATCCAGGGTTTTTGGACCGCACACGCCAACTTCAAATGCACATGAACGAGACAATTATGGCAGCTCTCATCAGAGCCCATGAAGCCATTGTGGCGACTGCAGTTTGTATGGCTGTCGGAGAGAAGCACAGACGGAATGTTGTATATGCGATCTTCAAAGCAATCAGAAAGGCCAGCGAGGATGGGGGAGCTTAGTTAGCTAACTTCACATCCATCCAATCATCGATCTATTCATTCATCCATCACATTTGCATCTCGAAGGTGGAATGAAATGCTCTCCATCTAAAACAAAAAAAACAAAAGAGGACAAAAGGAAAAGCACAGCCCTAACACGAAACCAACTCCGACCAAATACTTACCCTATAGGAACGCAGCGACTTCCCCGTCGACTCAAGTATGACTCAACGATAAGCAACAGTCACGAATTTCTTCACCACAGCAGCTGAAGAACGCCCTATCCGTCATCTACTCTGAAACCGCAAATCGAGTAAGGCTTTCTTGCCTCTCGGGATCGACCTACCAGCGACCCGCAACTCAATTCTGGCCGATTTGTAAGACGGCGATTGTAAGCCGTCATGATTAATCCAGTCTCCGCTCAGCTCTAAGGTATACCTTGGAAAGCAAGTCACGCACAGAATGATCGGGAATGTGCAAGAAGGAGCCCGAATCAGAGTACATACGCATAATTGTTTGTTGCAAAAATAGTTCATAGATCAACTTCCAAAAGCTTGCAAAGCTAGATGTTAGTCATTTCCGGTCTGCCCTGCCCCGTGGGTGCCTGGGCGATTTGCGTCATGAGGCAGACATATACTCGAGACAAGAGAGTATAAATAGTAGGCATCTTCACATTGTAGTTCTCTTCAGGTAGATTGCATTCATCTCAGTCTATTGCATTACATCTAAGAGTTCGCAATCATCTTGACCTGGTCAGTTCTACCAGTCTTGCGACCATTGTCTTGGATTCGACTGCCGACGAAGTGGAAGACTCAGCGGTCTTCTCCTCTTCCCTCCTCTTAAACTCACAAATTTCAATGGGAAGAGGTGGATACAACGATCCTGCCGAGCCCACGAAGCCCTCCCATCTGGTGACCTGCCGCGCCTGCACTGGCGCCTTGCCCAACTTGCCATCTATGCAAGGGCGTGGCGGATATAACGACGTGCATAGCGACGACGACTGAATAACGCTCGAGAGTCAATCTGAATCTGTCGGTATATATTGACCCGGCTGATCTTGTTCTCGGCAGTCATGAGTTGGTACGAACGGCGGTGCCTGGGATATGGGCTGTGGGACGGGGATTCGCCATTTTTGGTGGAAGCGATGCAACCATATAGATGCAGAAGATTGTCAGATCCACGAATACATAAGCAATTTCATTTTCCAACACAGAACCTAAATCACGTCCCAACGTTAGCCGCAAAGCAACATTATCATCATAATCGCACACGGAAACCCACTTCTCGAATACGACGCCCAAGACATCCTCCACGTCGCCGCTCTCGCCTTTGCCAGTGATCTTGGCGAGAGTGTCCGCGGCGAATCGCAGATGCTCGGCTGCCATCACGACATCAATTTCAGTCTCAATATTTCGATCATGAATATAGCCGGGAGTTTGGAGCGTTTGGGTTTGGGTAGTCTGCTTCAGGAAATCGTCCAAGTGTTGCATGCATCTCTGTAGATTAGAGCTTTGTCGATGGGTCACTCCCAATGAATCTTCCCAATACGAAATATCGTATTGTCCATTCTCATCTCCATCCGTTCCCGCCGGGGATGCAATTTCTTCAAAAGTTGAAATCAAGCCTCGTAGGAATCCTTGCATATTCCCCGGATCTGATTGCTCGGACAGAGTCCCTTCCGAGGCCTCGTGGCAGGATATGTCGAATATGCGTTTCTCCGGTACGGCTGGAAACAGCGTCCTTATTTTCGTCCTCAATTCATGCAGTGACTGGCCGAACCGATCTGCTGCAGGAAGTCGATCGCACTTGTTGATGGCCACAACAATGCACTTCCCAGCTTGTACACAATCATTAACCGCATCAATTACCTCCTCGTCCACTGATAGTCGGTAAGGCGAGCCATTAGTCCCTTCCTCCAGGGAGACGACCAACACAACCACGTCCGATTCTAAAGCCCTAGCTCTGGCGCGCCGGATACCCTCCTTCTCAACTGCTCCAATGACCAAAGTTGCCTGACCGGTGGAAGCGCTCGTCTCAGACCGGATCCCAGCCATGTCGCCAAGCTTGCAGTACCAGCCGCCGAGATCAACCCCAACATCCACAATGTCCCTAGTAGTTCCCTCCTCGGTACTGACAATAGCGGCTTCCTTGCCCACAATCCGATTCAAGAGTGAACTCTTCCCTGCGTTAGGGGCACCAAGCAGGGCGATCTTGATCCCATTGCGCAGGAGTTCTCCCTTCGACGCATTTTCGATATGCAGCTTCAGCTGAGTCTGCAGCGCGCGGACCTGTCCTGCGACGGAGCGGACAAACTCCTCAGGAGACTCGTCGAAATACTGGTCCTCGGAGAAATCAATCAACGCCTCCAGCTCCCCGCGCGCATATAGTAACTGCTGGCGCCACAATTCGTAGCGTTTCGAAAGAGCATCACTCGCACCCCGAACAGCAAGGCGCCGCTGCTGTTCCGTATCAGCGGTGAGCGTATCGCCCAGTGCCTCAATTTGCGGCAGATCAAGCCGGTTATTCATGAACGCTCGGCGAGTGAATTCGCCCGGTTCCGCATAGCGGACCAGACTCTCCGGCCGATTGGTGCGGGCAATAGCTGCCAGCACCGACTTTACGATAGCCGGTCCACCGTGAAGATGCAGTTCCAGGACGTCCTCGCCTGTAACAGTTTTGGGTCCAGGGAAATACAGTACAAGAGCCCCCGCGTCGAGGACTGTGCTGGCGGAAGGCTCTTGTGTAGGATCGTAGAGGGTGCGTACTGCGGCAAGGCGGGCGCGAGGAAGAGGTGCACTGGGACAGAGGGCCCGGTAAATCTATTCAAGGGCCGAGAGAAGGTGTCAGCCGGTCATCTTATGTAGTTATCTCTATGTTGGCGCTTCGGGTTAAAGAGGCGCTCTGGAAATAATCGTCAAACATTGACTTACCTGCACACATGCGGAACCCGAGACTCGTACAACCGCTATGGCTGCTCTACCGGGAGCGGTAGAGAGCGCATATATCGTTGAATCGGCCTCCAAGGAGAATTGAAAGCTCGAAGATGCAGAGAAGTGCCGGCAAGAGCTGGGTGATCTCCGCTGGACTAGTCGTGCTAGATCAAAAGCAACTCCATGACTTGGAGTTGCTATGCAAGAATATCGGCTCCATGACGGGCGAAAGGTAAAAGCCCGCCGTAGACTCCAAAAACCGAATGCTCGCATGCGCAGGCAGGTAAGTGGGAAGTTGAGGTTGGAACGAGAGGGCGGAGTACTACCGTTGATATTCCCGTTTTATCAATTATGATATCACGTGATTTATATATGTTCTTGGTTGGCGCAATTGACTACTATTTACAGCATCTGAGTGTTAGACAGGCCATCTATAATGTTCTAAGTCTTGAGCATATAGCCAGCCTACTTGTCAAGTGGTTAAAGCTTTAAGGACTGTGCTTTGAAGTGGGTGGCGCCATTGATCTATTAACCTTAAAAGTAACAGACCATGCAGGTCAACGCGAAATCTTGGGCACCAACATATGCATGGGGGATATTCAACGACACGACACTTGCGTCACTTCGTCACGCCTGCGCGCCGAAAGACACCGAGCCATACGCCAGACAACCGACGCTTCAAGATCCACCGCCAAAGAGATACAACAAGCGCAAGTAGTCGTGCCAGTACAGGAAAAGCACGAACCGCCGAAGGAACGCGCGAAGAGACAGTCAGCAGCTGAAGGAAACTATGTACAAAAATGGAATAAAGAAAGTTGTATAGATATGCAGAGAAGAGAACAAAAATTAAGAGATGCCGAAATATGGATGACGGGTAGGTGGGACGATGTACTCTCGAATGATGAATTCAAAAGCAAGTCACAATGAAGGTACGCTCGGGAACAAAGGTGGAAGATCTAGAAAAGAGATGTTCGAGCTGCTAATGTTGACCGGAAAGAAAAAGAGGGCTGTCAGTGATCAAAAGGAGGAAAAGAATAAGAAAGAAAAAGGTGAAGACAAGTAACTGTGGGGGATATTATACACTGAGACACATAGGGAAATGTTTCCGAGACGACATCAGTAAGTCTATCAATCAAACATTATATTATGAGAGTTCGGGTGATTTTGTTTCGGTCGAGCAAGCAGCAACTATGGGTTATAGATCAACCCGACTGCTCTGTAGGCTGATGCTGTGGCGAGCCACCGAGGGGATCTTCGTCACTGGGTGATCCTTGATGCTGATCTGCGTTCGGCGAAACGACAATAGAGGGAGTTTGAGGAGGCTGTGAAGCCCCATTCTCCTCATTCGAAGGACTGATCATGCCGGGTTCACTCAGTGCTGAGGCTTCAGTACTGGGTGGTGGCGTTGCGGGTTCTGGGACGATCGACAAACTCGAACCGTCAGCGCTGTCTTTGCTAGCATTTCCTCCATTCCTCCTTCTCAGTCTGCGTTTCCGGCGTTCCTCCTCGGCGCTCTCTCTTCTCCGTCGAGCACGCTCTCCGTTGTTGTCCATGTTATCTCTGAGACCTTGCAGCATGCTTGCAGCGCGGTCTGCAACGTCTTCGCTTTCTGACACCTGCAGATCGTTTGTATGGGTGTCTACATCGGTCTCTTGACCTGGCGGGCTCAGCAGACCGGTCTCTGTAGTGCTAGCGTCATTATTGACGCCCACGAGAGTGGCACTGTTACTGTCCGTCTGTGTTTCACCATTTGCGAGCTCAGATGCAGTGAGGTCCGGCATCTTCTGACCTGAAGCAATGCGAACCTGGTGACGTTCCTTCAACCTGGCGCGCCGACGACGATCACGTTGATCTCTAGCCTGAGGAGCTGCAGCTCGTAATTTCTCCAGAAGCGAGTCCATGGCACCGCTCGTAGCAGGAGACAGTGGCGCATCGCCTGCACCAGTACTGTTGGCAAGGCCGGCGTTGACACGTTTGCGGGCCAGGGAAGCCTCGGTACGCTTTCTGGCCTCTTCAAGGGCGACGTTCTTCTCTTTCGATTTCTAGGAATCCATTAGCCATGGTTGCCATTGTCATAATGAACGAACGACATAGAAAAAAGCTTACCTTCCACTCCAACAAGAACGAAGCCAGCTTCGCAAAGAAGTCCCGTCGAGCTCCTTCATCTGTATTATCTTCTCCGTAAAAGACCATGATGTCGTCGTACGTCTTGACCATCTCCTCCAGATAAATCTGCATTTGCTCCGCCTTTCTTCTGGCATCTTTCATACTTCGCTGGACGACTTGACTCACGCGGTCCTGTGGATGGAACTTCTTGGGATCGCTTAGATTGCCTGCATCAAGGCTTGCCTGCACGTTCTTGATATTATCAATGTACTTCTTGGCATCTGCCCGCAACTGGTCGACGTTGATCTTCTGCACTCCGATGACGCCGCCGATCTCATCAACAAAACCTTCCCACTCGGGGTACTGATTGCGGACAATACGCTCAACGAGGTCTGCGAATGTTGTCTCATTTTTATCATCCTTGACCATGCCAAGACGAGCGAGCGAGCTCAACTTGAAACCTTGAGCCTGCTTGTTGGCGTCGTTCATGAAGTTACCGATATCCAGGATCAGTCCAAGAACGTTCATCAGGGAGACTGAGTCTCTCAAGGTCTCGCTGACCCTCACGACCTCGCGGGTTTTCGTCGAGAGATGCTCGTAGTCCGGCTCGAAGGAGCGTGTCAATGCAAGGGCCCGCATTCTCGCTTTCCAGTAATGATTTAGCTCAAAAGCAGTGTAAAGGTAAATCTGGTCCTCCCGCGTGAGCTCGGTTGGATCTTGCTCTCGCTCAGAACTAGCAGCATCAGGCCCCGTCCAATCCTTGCTGTAAGGTGCCATTAGCTTGGAGACATTCTCAGGTATCGTGCACATCTCCTCTCTCTGCAAAAAGTCCATAACCACCATATTGTCCAGAATTTCTGGATCGCAATGGATAATCATACGGACGACATCATCGACAGGGTACTGAGAGAACTTGGCCAATGCGATCTGGAAGGTCTTCGACAAGTCGTTTGAGATTATCTGTTTCTTGTCTTTGCGCTGCTTGGCGCCGGAGCCGGCCCCAAAGATCTTGGTCTCCTTTGCCATGAATAACCTTTCGACTTCGTCCAACACGCCCTTCTTCGCCAGCTCGCTGTACTTCTCTTCCTTCGCTTGAGGAGTGGGGTCGCGAATGGCCCACACAGTCACCTGTGGAGTATCGACCTTGTCCCAATGAAGAGCCTTAAGTTTCTTCTTAGGTCTAATAGATGACAAGACGGCAGTTGGGTGAGAAGGTGCAGATTGCGAAGCCATGTAGTTGGCTCGCCAGCCTCCGCCAACACCAGGCGGCGGAGGTGGTGGAGGTGCTCCGAACCGACCCGGGGGAGGTGGAGGGGGCGGAGGCATTCCTCCAGCAAAGCCAGGAGGGGGCGGCGGAGGAGGAGGCGGAGGCATTCCTCCAGCAAAGCCAGGAGGGGGTGGAGGAGGAGGCGGAGGTGGAACCCCCAAACCCTTGGCACCTGGCGGCGGAGGTGGGGGCGGCGGTGGAGGCGGAGGTGGAATGCCAACCGCACCACCTGGAGGGGGTGGTGGTGGGGGCGGAGGAGGAGGAGGGGGAGGTGCAGGCACGGATACAGGTTTCTCTTCGGGCTTTTCGCTCTCACTCTCGAGCTTCACTTCATCTTGGCCGACCTGGGCTTCTCCAATCTCGGGTTGAGATGGTTGAGCATCATTCTCGTCGACTTCAGCATCTTCAGCGTCGATCTTTGGGACTTTAGAAGCAATCTCCCCCAGCAAATCAGATGCTTGCTCCGGATCCATTCGGGGCCGTCCAAAGTTGACGAGAAGTGACCCATCCTGGTCCGATGGCCTCTCTTGACCGTTAGCAGCCTCCATCTCCGGAACATGGCTTCTTTTGCGATGAACAGAACCCAGAGCGCTAGCTTCCAGGTTTCGACGAGCTTGTTCCTGGAAGTCCTCCGGGTCAGGTTCGCCATCCATCTGCTCCCGTAGCTCACGCAGTCGGTCAGAGGGTCCATGTTGGCCCCAGACTTTGCCCTCCAGCTTGAACTGAGTCTTGGTCCGCTCAAGCTGTTTCTCCAACCGCTCCAGCAGTCTTTCCCGGTCCAGGATACCCCTCATGTGCGATGGATCGGTCTCGGCAAGATTATTCTTCTTGGCATTCGATGCAGCGATATCCTGAGCGTCTCGGAGCATTAGATAGAGCTCCCTGGTTTCCAGTTCATTCCGCTGCAGCTCCTGAGCACGCAGCCGCTGAACATCGGCAAGCTCTGCCTTGAGTGCTTCGTTTTGTCTAGTCTGAAGCTCAATGATGCTCGTTTGTTCATCGATCTGCTTCTGCAGTTTCTTCACCAAACCATCCGCGCCCATCTCCACCTGCGCCTTCATCTCGTCCCGCTCCGCAATTGCGGCCTCCGCAATCTGCCGCGCCTCAAGGGACTCGTCGTATGCCCGCCTTGCCTCTGCATCAGTATGAAGCCGGTCCAGAAGACTCTGTACTGTAAAAGTCAATCCTTGCCGTAGATCCAGATCGGGGAGTCTCCGGTCCATGGCAACGTAGCTGAGCATGGCATCGACAAGCTGAAACATTCGAAGACCGTCCTCTCCGGAGTTCTCCCGTATGAGAAGCATGTGCTGCATAGCGGAAAGGAAGTAATCATGGGCACGCGTCCCATTGAGTCTGGTCAGAATGGCATCCGTTATTTGCAGGGGATCGCTCATGTCCTTCACCTCACCCTCGATGCTATCCTTCATACTGCTACTCTCCCGCTGAAGGAGATCTTCGTAGTCAATGGCCTCATTTTCTCTGAACCGCTCGATCTGCTTATCGATGACCTCGTATTGGAAGCCTTCCATCTTCGTCAAGAGACGCTTGATGCCGCAAGAGATGAACTGGGCCCGGATGTGGCATCGCAATTGTAGGTCATTTTCCGGCGCATCCACCAACATGTTGATGAGCATCATGGTTGAGACCGCATACTCCATGAGCAGATTCTCCATGCCAATGCCGCCGCTGCGATACTCCTCACTGGCACCGACTAAACTGCCCATTTTGCCCCGGCCGTCGATCGTCACCTCCACGATTCGCATCCAGGCATCAAAACGGCCAGTTTCGCCATGCTGATTCTTGACATGATCCATAGCCTGCAAGACCTTTTGATGGCCCTCCCCTTCCGCCCAGTGACATAGGAAGGTCAGAACCTCGCTGACCAATTTCCTTGTGTTCAGCCGCGGAGATAATAGCGAGCTGATAAGAGCGATAATGACCTGCTGATGATTGATTGCGTCGTCCGCACCATATTTATTGTTCATGAGGGCCTTGAGACACTTGACAATATCGTACTCTCTATCCAAGTCCCGGTCGCCTGTCGGTGGTGCGGGGACAGGGCCCGAAGCCTTCCTGCGGTTGATCTTCGAGAGAACATTGGTCAAGGCGATTTGACCTTGTGCTTCGACAAAAGCTCTGACCCAACTGTCATATTATTAGCGGGAGGTAGAAAGCGGTAAGCCTGGTACAAGAAACTCACCTAATGGGCTGCGTTCGCAGACTGACACTCAAGCTGGCCAATTGTTTTGATGTGATACTGTCGTCCATGACCTTCTTCACATACCACTCCGGGCTCCCTTCTTCATCGGCCCGCTCGAGAATGCCGGTTGGACCGTCATGGCCATGAGTTTGCCTTGCGTTCTGTCTCCGCTTCTGTTCACCCTGTAGTTCCGTCAAGCGGTCCTGGTGTACGAGCGTCCATTTCTTGGATGCGGGATACGCCAGCATCTGCCGCTTGGCCTGCTCTGGAAGGTTTTGCCAGCCTCGCTTTTGCATCAAGTCAAGGAACAGTTGGTCCACTATGCGATCGTCCCTGGGCCGCGTGAGATATTGCTCAGGATTGAGGGCCGGTGCAGCAGGTTGGGCAGCCAGCTGAGCAGCTTGCCATGCCGCTTGTGCAGTAGAGAATCGATTGGAGTTGCCGCTGCTTGGGAAGAGAGTGCCACGGTCACCTGAATGCGATGTTGTGAGCGTCCGTGCTGAGCCGTCCGACGAGATATAACTCGAGCCCCTTGTGTTGGAAGAGAGAGACGAGTGTATGCTGGTCTGATCAAGGGACATCCGCGACGTCGATGATGAATCAACGGTGGACGAAGAATTATGGCTGAACCCAGCATTTGTGGCCGAACTGCCTGGTCTTGCCCACTGCTGATACCTCGCGCTCTTGTCTCCTGCAGTACTCCCAACCATAGACACATTGGACGCGTGCGGCGGGGGACGGGGTCCAGTAGGATGGGAAAAGGCGTTGGTTTCTCGTGGTCCCGTCGGGTTCCATGCTGGATATTGATGAAAATCACTGCCCCCCTTGGCAAGATGATTTGGCGAAGGCTCCTTTCGCGGCGATGTCTCTGCCCTGGACAGATAATCTACCGGGATGGGAGACCTGGTATCCGCAGGAAGGCTCTCAAAGGGAATGGATGTTATGACTCCTGCGGTCATCGAGAGACCGCTTGGATCAAAGTCGTGCGAGTAATCCACAGATTGGACGGATGATCGTTTCGAATGGCGGGACGAACGGGATCCAGCAGCGCTTCCTGGGGGGGCGAGATTCTCCGACCCTCCATAACCCTCATACCGATCATCTACCGGCCTCTCCTTGTGCAGCTTCCTCCCGAAGAATCCTTTGCCAGCCGAGGTTTGTCTCGATTTGTCGGATGCGGACGTGGTGGTTGGCATCTTGACGGGCGTCGCTGGGGAAATGCAGGGCGCAGCATGAGCGTTGTCCACAACCAGAAGATCTAAAACAGGAGCGTTGTCGCTAACAAGGTTGTTCCCAGAAACCGACGAACCCCGTTACTGTCAAACCTGCGCAAGGGCGTCAACGACATCCAACTCAAATCCAGTAAGCCGTAGTTGGGACTCCTGACTAGCAGTTGAATACCCGCTGCGGAGCAGCGCTAGAACAGGAGGGGGGAGGGCGCCGAATAGTAACACTTCAAATCCTCCCTCCTCTTCCGGGCTAGATGCGAAAAAGGCGCAACACCACAAGCGAGGGGTATCGGTCTCCCAGAAAGGGGGTGATCGCTTGTCCTGCTTGTGCGGGCAAAGCTAGGATGATGCTAGAAACGTCGTTTGCTTGTCAGGGTTAAAGCGCGGGCATTACTCGTTTAGGGGGGTGAGAGGCGGCTCTAGAACGCAACAGGGGCCGCTTACTCACGTGACCATTCTCCCCGTTCAGGAGATACAGTCACGTGTGCTTGTCTGCATTAGTCTGCAGCATCTGCGACGAAGAGCAGGCTGTCAGATAATCGCCAGCAGGTATCGGCTACTGGAAACCTGAATGGTAATCTATAGAAGCCTTAGTCGCTTTGTCTTATTCTTGTGTGATGTGAGCGTGATGTCTTTATGTTGATCAGAGACCCGTCACTATCATTACTCCTGAGCCTCTACTTAGGCTGGTGCCTATAACTGTATACGCAACTCAAGCCACCACTTTGAGCCACAGTCAAGATGGGCTCCATGTCAAATGTGGCCAAGGTGAGTTTTCTGCGGTCTCGTATTCTGACGGTGTTGATTTCTAATGATCTGTTCTGCTCAGACCCTCCTTATCCCCGCCGTAATATCCCTGGCGCTTTATCTCCTCCTCTCATTCCTCATCGTCCCATTCTTCCGTCGCTATCATCAACGCTACTCACAATATCTTCCGTTGCAAGCGATTTCTGCGCACACTTTATCCTTGCGAGATCGTATAGCCGATGCTGTCATGCGCTTCTTCTTGCCATCGTCGTGGCGGCGGCAGACCGACGGACAACACGATAACATTAGCATATTTGACGAGGAGGGGGAAATCATGGTTGGGATGGACATGGATCCCTCTCGGAGGGAAGCGCTGGAAAGACGGCGCGATATAACGGCTGACGCAACCAGCCGACTCAGCCGGGACCTCGAGCAGGGGTTCATGGACGATAGCGATGATGAAGGGGATGATCATGGCCATTCAAGGGTTCGTCGGTGATTTGTGATCGATTAGTTGTTTGTCTTGCAATTACAGCTGGCGTTTGGGTATATGCATATTAGACAAGCGGCATGAAGACTGCGGTCTCTTCTTCAGATATTTTCGCATGTATCTGATGGATCCCATCGAGACATTTCCGAATTGCACTTGAGAATCAGGTGTCGGTAGAATATTGAGATGGTTAGTAGATACGCTCAAGTGAGACCTGTCTATCCGACATATACGTTCAGAATACCGTGGCAACATCGTTTCAAGGAGGCTGGCTAAGGTACATACCAAATGATGCCAGATATGTGAGAATACTAACTCAACTAGATCTGTATTTTACGTGTAGGACCTCATAACCTCGCTCGAACATTGTGGCATCAAGGACGTAATTTATCCTATTGACTAACGTCCGGATCTTAATTTCGGTTGTCCAGAGCAATCGTCGACCTCGCACTTTTTCTGCACAGAACACACGAGTTAAACGGAGTGTTTTATGCATTAGAACAGAAAGTGTCCTCCACTGAGCTTGATACTCATATTTATATTTACATATATAGTAACGGTTCAAGCAAAATTGATAGCTTGAGAGGCATGTAGTCCGCTGGAGCCTTGAGTCTGAGCTTTCAGATCAGTGTGACTGAGGAGAGTCCAGTTATTTGAAACACAATTGAATTGGTTCTCAACTCCCTGGAGGGTAACAGATTATGGCTTGTATTGAACTATTGACAGTATCATCATGGTTCCAAGGGACCAAGCCTGCGCTTACAGGTTAAGCAACTCTAAAAGGGTTAAGCTTTAGCTAATCGACGGTCCCCACCAGCTAGTCTCAAGGTAAACTATTTCAACCTGAGAAGCACTGAGGACTTTGCCTTGCCACAAATGTTGCTGAGCATCTGTGTTGCGTGTCAAAAACCGCATACATGGCTTGTTAGCTTGATCATAAAACTCCGATCAGCTATTAAGCTTGCACTCTAGACCATACAGTATTTAAGAGTAGGAGCCGAGTTGGAACTCGCGCTCTGAGTAGCCAATGGATTGAAGAAAAGAGAAATGCCATTTAGGTATCATAAGATGGGTAAGTCACTCATAAAGGTGAAACCAAAGAAACGTGCAAGAATAAGTACAATCAGTCATTCGCTTCATAAAGTGATTGTGACACTTACTTCTGCCTCTGACCGTAGGCCTTGGTGACGTAGTCACCGTCCTTGACGATGAGATCCTCGGGCCTGTAGTCGTGGCGACCGGAGAAGTAGCTGTCGAGGATGGCCTTGGTGCCCTGAGCGTAACGGATCTGGGCGTCGATCGAGGTACCGGACATGTGAGGAACCATGGCGTTACCACCGCCCCAAGGGCCCTGGACGTACCGAAGGGGATGGTCCTTGGGAGCAGGCTGAGGGTACCAGACATCACCACCGTAGCCGCGGAGGTGACCGGACTTGACGGCCTCGGCAACGTCCTCCTTGACAACAATAGCACCACGAGCGGTGTTGACGAGCCAAGAGCCTGGGATACAGTTAGCGGACGAGTTATTTGCGAGTCGAACATGATAGCAAAACTTACCCTTCTTCATCTTGGAGATGAGTTCCTTGTTGAAGAGACCGCGAGTGCTCTCGTGCAGAGGGCAGTTGATAGTGACAACGTCGCACTGGGCGAGCATCTCCTCGAGGTTCTCAACACGGCGGCAGCCAATCTCCTTCTCAACCTCGGGCTTGAGGGGCTGGTAGTCGTAGTAGAGCAGCTCCTTGCAGTCGAAGGGCTTGAGACGGCGCAGCACGCGTTCACCGATACGTCCAACAGCGACGGTTCCGACGACCTTGTTCTCGAGGTCGAACTCGTTCTTGGCAACGGCAGCAACATCCCATTCCCCGTTGCGGATCTGCTCGTGGGCAGGGACGAAGTTGCGAACCAGAGTCAGAATGGTCATCACAACGTGCTCGGCGACAGAGACAACATTGCAACCAGTGACTTCGGCGACAGTGATACCGCCGTTGGTCTTGTTGGCGGCATTGAGGTCAACATGGTCGGAACCAACACCGGCAGTGACGGCGAGCTTCAGGTTCTTGGCCTTGGCCAAGCGCTCTGCGGTGAGATAACCGGGGTGGAAGCTATAACAGAAGGTCAGTAATTGCGCGCCAGTGTGAGTTAACTCCAGATGGGACACGAACGGGGTGGTGATAATGACTTCGGCATCGACCAGCTCCTTGTCGAAAGTGGAGTTCTCGCCCTCCTTGTCGGAGGTGGTGACCAGAGTGTGGCCCTGCTCCTCGAGCCACTTTCTCAAACCAAGCTCATTCTCGGTGGTACCAAGAAGGCCAGGCTGCTGTTTGGCGTGCTCACCGCCCTGTTTTCATCGTCAATCAGTTTTCCAGGCCTTGTCATGTCACAGCAAAAAGAAGTTGTTGCGGGTACTTACGTCATAGAGGACCATAAGAACCTTGCCCTGTAGATTGGCAGAGGCTGTCAGCGTTCGTGCACTAGAAATAGAACCTCCCAGAGAAGCAGCCCGGAATGGACTACTGCTGGAAGGAGAAAAGACTCCTTTGGTAGAAAAGACAGAAGTGGCAGGCCGCCGCAGCTGACGGGACAAAGAACGGATAAATACCATTTTGAATTGAAGTTGATTGAGTTAGATATAAAGAAGGATGAGTTGAGAGATGACCCTAAGATTGAGGAGGGAGTCAGCGGTCTATTTAAATCATCATTGACTTTAGGCCTGGAGCCAGATGTTCAATGGTTATTTCGGCGCATAAATCCCGTAGTCGTGATGGAAGCATGATGCAGGGCGGGGAACAGCCGGATGGCATGGAAGGTGGGGAATCATGATCCAGGGAGAAGCCCAAGAATTATGGCTATTTCAGGTAGACAAAGACCCAAGAGGGAAGAATGAGGAGAGAGGGAGACATATCAGGAAACTTACCGGATTCGGTCAAGCGAAAGAATGAGCTGATGATGAGGAGGAGGAGAATGATGTATGAGATTGATATAGAAAAAAAAGGAGCATTCAGAACTACAGGGACATGGCCCCAAATATATAGACCTTTCTGGGTCCTTTACTAGACCAATTTTCATGGTGAACAGACTGGAGCAATCTGCCCCTCTCCAATTCTCAAGACACCAGCGCTCTAAGGGGTTATGCCTGGTAGTACCATATTACCACATAGTAACCATCAAGGTGTCGAGGATGCGGCACTATCCATTGGGGATGAGCGGAACTCCACCAACCAGTGGGCCGTGGCAGAGCAACCTGGTTTACTGCAAAGGTAAGATGGAAGACCACCTCAGCTAACAAACAATACTACCTAACTAGTCCAGGAGTCAAGAATACGAACGGATCGGCGGGAACGCATGGAAAGTGGGTGGGATGATGGATCATTGGGTCTCTCCGCATGCGGGACAAGAAGAAAGACAGTGCGAGTGGTTGGAGTTGGAGAGAGCTTTGACATTTGGCGCTACGTGAGTCGATAAGAGGATTATTATCCTAGCACCTAGCAAATGATTGCTTATTCTTGAATATGCATGTAATACTGTCACTCGAGTATCCTTAATTGGCATTCATCCTTGTGCGACCAAGGTATGCTGCTACGTCTAAGTGACCTAGACTCGAAAGACTACGGCAATGCGGGGTTCAGAGAAACGTACATGACATGATAGACAACTACGGATTGCTTTTAACAGATTACAGACATGAGCCTGTCAATACTTACCTGTGTGTCCTTGCATAGCATCGAAGAAAAAGCGTGCCTTGACCTCTTAGTGAGGGGTTGGCAGATTAGAGGACTATCGGTCGGGTCCAGCCTCACGCAGCAAACAGCTTAGGATCTAGGTACAGAGGTACCCCTCTACTCATTCCCACCAGTGGATGCCCCTCGATACCCAGCTCCCCATTAAGCTGAGGGGTTAGATATGGAACGCTATTCCCATTTAGATAGCTATGAAACCCCCTCGTCACATCACTTACCCCTCATGAGGAGAGTCCCCTCATACCCCGCACGCCCTCTTCAAATTTCAGAGGTATACCTCTGGGTACTGAGTCCACATTAAGTCCAACCACCCGAGTCTGGCTCGAGAAATTGCCGCTCGAAAGGATGAACAATATCTATCAAGCCCATCCAGATCATTCCGAAAAGTACGTTTGGAGTTGGGGTCTCAGAGACTCGATGCTGTTCTTCTGGGATCTTGGCTCTCGGTCAAGCTCGGCCCACTAATGACAAATGATGTAAGTATCTATAATGCTCTTATCCGAGCTTTTACCAAGATTCATCCGAATCTTCAGATCCCATCAATCAAGGAACTCGCATCAATTGTTGAGAGTGAGGATACCGAATTTGGACCACCAAGTCAGCTACTCAGCTCCGCGATGATGAGGGGAACGCCTCCGCCAGCTCCCCACTGCTCCTCACCGACAGGCCAATCTGCAAGAGATATACGCAAGTGCGGAACACCGGCGGATGGGCAATTGTTTCGAGTTGTCAATCCCGGTTATTGTCGCTGAACCAGAAAACTGAAGCTGCAAGAAGCCAGGAAAGCTCAGAATTTCTTGCAATAGAGATTTGGCTCCATGATACGGCATTCGAGAGATGAGTCTACTATACTTCTAATGTACAACGTCTATACTACATAGGCACCCCGGGCAACCTCCGGAGCGACTCCATAAATCATACTTTTCAGCAGTTTGCCCAGTTTAGAAGACAATGTTCACCAATTTGCCTCCTTTGACAACCACGACTCGTCTCCGCTTTTCCCAGTCGTTCTTCTCTCGCAACCAGACGCGGCCCTCGTCCGTTTCCAAAATCCGACTGATAATCCAGTCTTGTTCATCGCTGACTGCACCAGAGTTGTCACTGGATTCCGCAGATGTTGTGGGGGATAATCTTCGAGGGATAGTCACCGTGAAGCGTAGCTTTCCATTGATTTGAACAGCTACAATCTGGCCTCCGCGTGCAGACAGAACATCCGCCTGCTCGGAGGTCAAAAGGGGCGACGGCCACGCGCAGTCGAAGATATCTGGTACA